CTCGGGTCAAGGACTGAAGAAGTACCGTCTCTTTCCGCGAAACCCGCTCCGCTCTGCAAAGCCTCTGGCCCCATTTGATGCATTAAGTGCCAACCCAGTCTCAATAAAAACGTACCCTGGCTACGTTGGGGGGTCCAAAAGGGTGGCAAAAACGTAGAGGGCGGGCACAATGGAAGGGCCTTTGAATGCTGGGATGACCGTTAAATTTTTTCTGCCTTTCTTTTCATATTGGCCATGAGAACAAAAAACATGGGCGGACATTTCTCCATTTTTTAGTTGGGAAAAAAACCCCAATATTTTGAGTTAGTTTCTGCATAAAAATGTGTTTTGATTACATTCTAGCGCAGAAATATACATTTTATTTTCATAATATCACTTAGTGATGCCTACAATAAATAATCACTCGGCTTTGCTTAATGTGAAACTGGAAACGTTTTGCGGTTGCTATGGACGCTGCCTATTCGCCTTAGCTATAAGCTGTGGCCCAAGGATCCCACATAGTGGAAAAGTTAACATATCTCTGTGGTCTAAAGATATTTTGTGTTTTGATAGGACGCAGCCACTTACAGTAGATTGCGCGGTGCACACATATGTCGGTTTTAATAATCACGCACTTTCATTTATTTATTTGGAGGTTGATAGCGGGAAGTAGCAACCATCTGGCCCGTTACTATTTGGAGATTGAGGACCGCTTCCGCCTTTGCGTCAACGGTTGAGCAGAGAGCAGTTTCTCCTTGTTAAGTTAGAAAATATCTTCATAAAACCAAACCATTTTGTTGTCTTTAGGTGATTGGGCAAGGAGTGGGGTTTTAAATGTTAAATAAAGGAGGGGGGGAACTAAATTAAGGGACAACACCCCTGGGGACTGCCACCGCCCAGGATAAGCGAAAAACCAAATTTATTGGGAAGGGCACAGCGAGGTCGAAACTGAGGAGGCAGACGGACAGTAGATAAACAAAACAACATATTTGTGTATATTAGAAAACAAATTAAAAGAGGCCAAACCTAATCATTTAGCTAAAACCCATAAAATACATATTAATAAAACCAAACTAGAAGTGGGGCTGGGGGGGGCCTCAAAGTGGGGGCCCAACCTATGTAGAGGAATACCCCGTCCTCACTAGTCTGGGGGAACAACAACTACAAAACACTACAACCCAAAACATGCACTAAAAGAGCGCGCCAAGTACCGCAATTGCATGCAATTTAGGGAGCGAAGGCTCCCAACACAGCTGCCAAGGCCGCCCACCTGAGGCCACACCCAAGAAAAATAAGGCAAAAAGAAAAACACTGGCCCAGAAACCAACAGACAAAATCCAAAAATTTAAAACAAAAGACCAACCAACCCCAATTGATAAGAAATAAACCAACCTTAAAAGCATATGGTTCAAGTAAGATAACAAATGATAACTTCAAAGTAAACGCACAACTTAATGAATCAAACTTAACCAAAAACAAAAGGCACAAAACAGAACAAGCACGCAGGGAGCGCTAAAAAAAAATAGACAAAAAGACACCATGTTTAGTTCTCGGGGAGGAGCGACCAACTATAAGATCAACAGGAAACACTGGAAAAATGGGGACCCATTCACCACCGTTGCACAGCAGGCAACCAACCACCAGGGAGCCAGGGCAAAGAAGCTAAAAAGCTGGAAGCCAAGCTGGAGCCCTGTTTATAGGGTGGCACCTTGGGCACGGGGGGAGAGGAGGCTAAGGGAGGATGTTTTGGCCTGCGACTTACCGGCGGGTTGTCCGCTTCACAACACCTCGACTGGTTGGTCTTAGCTACAATTAGTATAGATCATATACATGGCAGAAAACTATATTATATTACTTAGAAACAGTGTGTTCATATTTGATAATATTGGGATATGCCAGGCCGACCCCGCCCCGCGCGCCGCCCCGCGCCCCGCCCGCCGCCGCGCCCATGCCAGAGGACCTTCAGAGGCGGACGGCGGGTTCCGGGAAAAGAGACGTACT